TTTTTAAATATATTTTTTTTTAAACACAAAGAATTACGACTTAAATTAATAAAATAAAAAATTAAGTACAAGAAGATCGAAGATAGGGTACATGAACGAGGTTTTTATTTTTTCTAAATGTATACAACGGTAAATCAATGAGATGACTAGGTTTTTAGTTATAAAAAACTATAAGTAATTATTCTAAAATCTTAAGAATTTCCATGTTTTTTATTTATTTATCACAATATATATCATGCTCCATAATTTATATAACATACATGTATATATTGATTTCTAAGTAACTAATTTGCATTTAAACTCTTAATTCGACTTTAGCTAATTATAAGTAATTATGGCTTACTCCATAGTTTTTTTTTTTTATTATTCTCTTTGTTTCTTAAGGAATAGCAAATTGGTAATGCAATGATGATTTGCCTTTCCAAAAAGGAAAAAAAAAAAAAACTTCCATGTAATTAGTAGAGATTTAATTAACATAAGAAATGAAAACTTCCATTATAGTTTGTTTTTTAAAATATAAATTAATACATTTTAATAACTATATAATATTAACATAATTTAATTTTTTTTAAAAATAAAAATAGGTATATAGAACTAATATTTCAATTGAAAACTACACTTTCTGTCAACCATCCAAAAATCTATATCATCTTATCTAAACTTCTGGTACACTTGAGCTTCTTTCGGAAGGTTAAAATCAATGAAAGAGTAGTACAATAAATAGGGAAGTGAAGTGAAGTATGAGAGAGTTGAGGAAAAGGCCAAAGTACCATCTAATCTTTTTCTTTCCTTTTACTGATAGTAAGTTTCAACAACTAATATAATGATCAGCTTTATATATACATATATATATATGTATATATATACCTGTTTATAATGTCCACCAACCACAGGAGGACAACCCACAAAGAACACATAAAAATAGAAATGTTATGTTAGTTACTATATATATATAAGTTATGGGAGTCGGTCAAACTGAAACCTAATTCATACTAATGTTACAAAAACAACATGCACGTACATTCACATGTTAAATAATGAAAATAAATTAATGATATCACCTACTTATAATTAGTTAGTTTTAAATTAAAAGTCAAATATTATAACATAATACGCTTTTACAAGTATACTTACATAATTCTACAAGTGATTTTATATTATCTTGTCTTTAATGTTCCAGTCAAGAAGGAAAAGGTATATGCCTCTTGAGGCAAAATCATGTTGCTACCTATCTCTTTATTTGCAACTTTCCTCTTTGGACTAACTTTCAACTTATATATTTATTTTATTGCAGACTAAGATATATATATATATATATATATTGTTTCTTTTAATATACAAATATGTTACTAGGACAGGTGAACCAAGTCTCCTATATATTTGGAGAAGCTCTATATAGATATATATACCACATGGACAAAATTAAATTGAAAAGAACCGAGTAAGTAAAGGAGAGGAGAATAAAGAAGAAGAAGAAACTTCATTTCATGCTATTATTCCCAAATGATGCTTTTGTTTAAAGTTTTACTGAATGGGTATATCTGGTGAACTATATAAAATTCACCCAGAGTCTAAATTTAGTAGTAGAAAGAAAAGAAAAGAAAAAGAAAAAGAAAAAGAAAAAAAAAGGAAGACAATAAATATATTAACAAACAAACATAAAGACATGTATATATATATATATATATAATTAAGAGCATTATTATAAACATTGAATTGAATACGTTTGTCATTTTTGTAATCACATATACAATGGATTTGATCATGATCATCAAAAACCTAATATCACTTTGAAGGACATAATTAAACGTAATTAATTAGCCAAAAGCATGGCTGTTCTTTTTTTTTTTTTTTGTCAATTATAAATCCCAAACCAATCAACTGAAAAGAATAAAACGTTAACTTACTGATTTGCTCCCTATCCATTTTTCTTTTAGACAAACTTTGAAGTGGGTTAATGATCATGATCATCAATGGCAGTATTGCCATGGAAAAAGCTCATCATCATCATGGTAATTGAATCCAATATCAATAGGTCCATCATCTGTATCCACCTGCCATGACGATGGACCCCAGAACTCATCAATTTGACGAGTTACATCCATCAAAAGATCAGGAAGGTCCATGAATGCATCATCATCAGATGCCACAGTGCTGGCTGGAGAGCTCGGCGCGTTTACCAGCCGGTTTTTCTCATCCTGGCCACTTTTCTTGCAGTGCAAGGCAGCCGCCTTAGCAGCTGCAGCTTGGATGTCCTTAGGGTTGGCGCTGGACGGACGGGGGAGTTGGTGAGCCAGCTCCGGGAAATTTAGATGAGCAGAATGACCCTTGATGGCTAGAGCCGCCACGTCGTGAGCTCGAGCTGCCATTTCTGCTGTAGGGAATGTTCCAAGCCAGATTCTTGACTTCTTCCTTGGTTCTCGGATTTCAGACACCCACTTGCCCCATTGACGCATCCTTACTCCTCTGTATGCCGAGTAATTCTTACCATCTTCTTCATTTTTATTGATTTTCACCCTTTTCTTGCTTTTATTTATAACATTAATTTCAGATTCTTCTTCGCCAAATTTCTTGCAACTTTTATTTATAGACGAAGACGACAACATCGTTGATGAGGAAGAGGACGAGGGCGAGGTGGCTCCGATAGATCTAGCCTCGCATTTCTGATGAAATGAAGCTTCCATGGTGGAAGTGAATTAAGAATGTTTCTGCTTTGAAGGAGAAGATTATAGAGAGTTGGGGAAAGGTCTAATGAACTTATAAAGCTAAAAAGAAATGTATGAACTGGGGCCTAAGGCTCCAAAAAGATATACAGTTTTGTTTTGTTTTATAATACAAATTTTGATTCAAAATATAATGGAAACGCTTGGCACAGTCTTTCTGTTTTTTGGTCTCATCCCAAATGTCTAATCAAGAGGATTAATGATTAAAGTATTTCAATTTTTTTTTTTTTAAATATGTTCAATAAATTATGTGATTTATTTAAAAATCCCAGTTGTTTTTTTTTAATAATAATTTTATTAAGTGTGGTTGAGGAATTAATGGTGGGCCAAATTTGCTTTTGGCCTTCTACCTGTCACCATAATATTCGTTAGTTTAATTTCTAATTAAAGCCATAAATATCACATAAGAGCTGGCATGGGTCCATTCAATATATGATGTGCCTATTCTCTGTCACTTTGTCTTGTTTTACTATCAATTACTGCCCATCTGCGAGTGATTGTTGTGTTGATTTTAAACACTTTTCTTTCTAGTTTTGTTCATTAAAAATGGCTCCTTTTGGTGCATCCTCTGTGTTGTTCCAACCCGGCAAGTATGAAGCCGAAAGGGTCGGTCTTAATCATGTGGAATAGAATGAGTTTATCTGACTCTATTTACTTCGTTCTGATTTAATTTGATACAAATTTTTAGATGAATTTATATCTTAAATCGGATCTAATAAAAAATAAAATTTCGTCAATTCACATAATTATTTTTAAAGAAATTCTTTTGTAAAAAGGTTAGACTTTCTCATCTGATACAGTATGAGCCCATAAAATATATTTAGAGAAACTCTTTTTGAAAGAATTAGCCTTTTTCATCTGACATACTATGAGCCCATAAAATATATTTAGTGTGTCTGAATTTAATTGGATAAAAGTTCGTAGATGAATATCTTAGACCAGACCTAGTAAAAAATTTAATTAACTCAACTTAATCTAATAAATTGCTAATAATATTTTTAAATTTTTTCTAAAAAATTTTGAAGGATACTCTTCACTTTTGCCTCCTTTATCAATTGCATTGATATAAGAGCTTTTTATAACTTTTAGTAGAATGCTAAGTTTATCACTCACATAATAACCATTCAACAACTATTTTTAAGAATATGTGAAAATTTTGCCAATTGACTTATAAATTTCATCTTCTTATTTAGTTTTTTTTTTTTTTTTTCAATACACTACTTTCCTCTTAGATTCTCTCAATTCAAACATTACTCTCATATTTCCATGGAGCCATGTGTATTAATAAATACTAATAATTTCATTTTAGTATTACATTATTTAACTAAATTAGATTATCATATAAGCTACTAATTTGAAGGCAAAGATTTTAAGCTCCAACGCTCAAGTTTCGACATAGTACACAAAGTGAAAAATCATTTAGGAATATTCAAACATTCAATTGTCACAACCTCAACTACCAAATTAAAATCATTTAGGAATTCATTTATGAATTCCATAAATTTTAACTTTTATAACGAAGAGGATTTTATGGGAAGAATTTGATACTCATCAAGAAATTAAAAGTTTCCAATTTTTATATAAGAAAAATATTTTTTAAAATTTTGACTAATAATTCTCACTTTGAGATCAAAATAAGTAGTACTATTGTTAAACTATCAGTTGTCGAGAATAATTACCTACTACCAATAACTTGAATATAAACTTTTAAATATTTAGTTTGATTAAAAAAATATATTAAGTTACTGATGTATGAGATGAGACTGAAACATTATAAATAATATTAAAGCATACGCTAACTCAATAATTTTGGGTTGGAACATGTTATGTTTATGAAAAAACTAAAAATTTAAGTTACAATGGTAACTTCTTAATTCCACGTTGAAAAAAATTGTGATTATTAATTCTATAAAAGCTTAGTACCACTAGTCCAGTAACTTTTTGTACTCAAACCATTACTTTCAAAAATTTAAGTACGAGTAGGTATTATCAATGGTGATAGTTACATGTTAACACATTGTAACTCACCATCAAGAAAAAATAGTCAAGTAACATTAAAGAGATGTGGGGCAGGTAAAGAGTGAGAAAAATTATACACGAAAAACTAGATACATATAAAGTCAATACATATCCTCTTAATAATTTTAATAAGTTATATATAGATGTACTAATATTAGAGTTTTAGAATTTTAAAAATATCGATTTAAATGTAATTATTAAGTGTATGTTAGAATGTAGAGTGTGAAGCGACTTTTTTTTTGTTTTTAATATTAATCTAGTTTGTTATTATTTTTACTAAACATTAATATAAAATAATTTAGTTTTCTAAATTTTTTAAGAATAAAATATACTTCTAAACTAGATGCATAAAAGGTACAAAATTACCTACAGATGAGCGTGAGTAAATAAATATGTAATACATTTTCTTAAAAAGAATGTGCTTCAAGGTGGGTATTTCCACCTTTATATTTGACTTTAGGCTATTATTAAGCTCATGTTGTTAATGAATGATTCGAACTTTTATAAAGAACTCAATGACTACATATTTTTTTTACTATAGAATTGAAGTATCACAATTATAGCAAGTGTCCACTTATAAGGAAGTAATCGGCGAGAAGCCACCCATCAATATATTAGTTGCTATTTTTTGTTACCTAGTTCTCTTTTTCTTTTTCCTTTTACTAACCATGTGAGTAATTTAGTTTTTTTGTCAACTAGTGTTAATTGTCTTGTGATTAGCTTGTAGTTTACGGTATTGAATTTCTAACTTGTTCAAAGTAGTTAGAATATTGTATTTATTATATCAATTAGCTTTATTTCCTACTATATTTAGATCTTATTTTAGCGTATTAAGAGTCATACAATTAACTATGATTATTTGATTGCTATTAGTTATCTAACGTATTTAGTTAAGATTCTTGTGCATAAATAATATGTATAATTCATGAATAGACTCATATAAAAACACAATTATTTCTTTTTCAAGTTTTTTAACTTGGCACCAAAACATCAAAGACGATTTTTTTTGGGTTGGCATATCTTCTTGGTGTTTCCTATTACTGTTTGTTACATCTTAAAATTCATCAATCATTTTTTAATTTGTTCACTGGTAGAAGATTTGTATCTTTATGATGAATCCAACGACAATAAATATAGCCCCATATGACATTAGATGAGTCCTCATGCGTAGTCAAAAGCCACTACGCTATTGAATTCAATTTTATAGTTATTTTTTAAAAAATTCTAGTTCTAAACATGGGTGTTGTCCTTTTTTTTTTTTTACTTTGTCGGTGGATTACTGATCTTACTTCATGGACTCTTCAAACATATCTATAGGCCAATTAGTATTATGTTTGATGGATCAAATTATGATATGTGGATTGAGAGGGATACAGTTCCTTAAAAAGTAAAAATTTATAGTGCATTAGGATTAGCAAGATTCCAAAACCCATAAAAAATGAAGATGAAGAAAAGTTCATTGCATTATTGGAACAATTAGACAATAAAAACCATCAGATTTTGATTTAGTTCGACAATACTTGTACCAATGATAAGGTTGTGCCAATTATTTTTTTAATAATCTCATTATTTCATCTATAATGATATTCA